TGACCAGCGGCTGACTACAGGAAGCCCGAGGCAGAGTTGCTCTGCCCCGGGCTTCCTGGAATCAGCTGCTGATCAGTTTCAGCAGCAGCTGACTTGGGGACGCCTGGGGTTCTTAATTTGAATCTGTATGTACGTCAGAACTGGTGTCCAGATTCAGCCGCTGTTGAAACTGATCAGTTTCAGCAGTGGCTGAATCTGGATGCCAGTTCTGACTTACATAGAAGCCCGAGGCAGAGTTGCTCTGCCCCGGGCTTCCTGGAATCAGCTGCTGATCAGTTTCAGCAGCAGCTGACTTGGGGACGCCTGGGGTTCTTAATTTGAATCTGTATGTACGTCAGAACTGGTGTCCAGATTCAGCCGCTGTTGAAACTGATCAGTTTCAGCAGTGGCTGAATCTGGATGCCAGTTCTGACTTACATACAGATTCAATTTAAGAACAAACCTACAGTCACTATCTTGTACGTAACCCGGGGACTGCCTGTAGTGGCAACTAAGAATGTGAACGGGTAAGGGGTTAACTGGCTACCCAGTGAACATCACCCTTAGCAGGTGATGCTTACTGGGTAGTGGTTTCCCTCCTCCCGCGGGCCTGCTGGCTTCCAGCCTGCGTTGCGGTGAGGGTGAAGGAGGTGGGGGGGAGAAGAGGGAATGTGGAAGCATTAGTGTAAGGAGTGGCTCCCAGCCTGCGACCCCACAGCCTTTCTTTCCCCCCTCTCGCTTCCTGTGCAAATGCTGCTTGCTCAGTCTTGTTTAATCAGTTAACTGGTTACATTTAACTGCTTAACTAATTCAATGGGATTTTACATCCCTAGTGGCTACTACTGTCCACTGAGATAGGTGCGCGCGTGTGTGTGTGTGTCACTCTAAAATGGAAAGACTTTTACGTACAGCCTAGAGGAAAATAAACTTTCCTTGATAGGCCCTGTAATGGGGAATTCCTACTCTGCACCAGGCCAACAGGAACAGACCAATCACTGGGCGTCCAGGAGGCCAGGCCCCTTCTGCACAAGCTCTAGTCTAGATGGAGGAGGTGGCCAACCTTGCTGCAACTCCCTGTATTGGTAGGAAAACTCAATGATTGTGTGACTGGGCGTAACAACCCCATACTCAGTCAATGGGGGCGGCCCACCTCAGCACTGGGAGTCCATCCGTTAAAAGTATAGTGGTGTATCGTGGTCTTGTGTGAGATATTCTTAATAGTCTGTTCTGTGAATCCCTGATTCCAGTTGGCTTGAAAGCTAAACTCCTTGTGTGATGGTTTTCGGGTTGGTACCTCCCCACGTTTGAATTGCTGTCCAAAGAAGCATTTGTTTCTGCAAGTTCCATTTGGTAATGGCAGAGACTCACTAGCTGAATATGTGCTACTTTTGGCTAGCCTCCCGTCTCTGGTAGTTTGCTCCAGTTTGGTACCTAACTCTTTTTCTCTTAAGACTCTAGCTCACATTTGCCAAGGGAGACAGTAAACGTATATTATAATATAGACTCTTTTTTTTTTTTCCTAAAAGAAGAGCTGCTATCATTTCTATATTTCCCATAGCTATGCTTGATACTTGCAAACACAAAGTTAAACTAAAGGCCATAGTTCTAGAAGGTTTTGAGTGACCCCAAATTCTGTTGAGTCCTTTGGTAGTTGACCTGAACTGTGGAGATTCAGGTCATTAGACCTAGCATAGTAATGTCAAAGAGAGCCAAGAGGTACAAGAAGAAGTGAGGGAGAGACGTGAAATACCCTGAGAGATTATGATTTTGCTGTGTACAGTCTTACATTTTAGTCTTTTAGGTCTAGTCATTTTCCAATCTTGAAAGTATAACTGACATTTTTTTTTAAATTGTATCCTTTGGTATATATGGTTGTGACTATTTTCTTCCATTATTTGATCTGAGGAAGAAGTGGGTCTGGCCCACGAAAGCTCATCACCTAATAAACCATCTTGTTAGTCTTTAAAGTGCTACATAGTCCTGTATTTTGTTTCAGCTACACCAGACTAACACGGCTACATCTCTATGACAATTTAAGGCACTAATAGTAGGAATGATTCTGTTTTAATGTCATCTACTTGCGTATGTTCCCCTTATCTGATTTGCTTGGTCACAACCTAGGGATGTTTAATATTGGGAAATAGAATAGTTGAGTAACCACATTAACTCTTATTGGTAACTCAACTATTCT